GGGTCTCGTTTCTGCCCAAGGTGCTGCTGTCCTCCTCTCGTTAGCTCCGTTGCGGCAGCTCCCGACACCGGTGCTCCTTTTCTGCAGGCTTGCTGAGCGACCGCAAGAAGGTGACCCTTGGAACCCAGCCCACCGTCCTGAGGACTTTCCGCTCTCTGTCCACCACCAACGTGTTTGCCTGCTCTGACCGCCCCACCGTCATCTACAGCAGTAACCACAAGCTGGTCTTCTCCAACGTTAACCTGAAAGAGGTGAACTACATGTGTCCCCTCAACTCGGATGGCTATCCTGACAGGTGAGCCTGCGCCGTGCCTGGTGGGACACGGGGTGGGGGAGCTCTGGACTCGGCAATGGGATCTGGGATCACCAGACGGGATCCCGGGATCGGCGGTTTTGAGGGCAGTGAAGGAGAGGGAGGTTCTTGCTGTGCAGCCCACCTTATAAGCACCACTGATGGTGGTTTGGGGTTTTTTTTCTCCCCATGTAGCTTGGCACTGGCCAACAACAGCACCCTGACCATCGGCACCATTGACGAGATCCAGAAGCTGCACATCCGCACGGTTCCGCTCTACGAATCGCCCAGGTGAGCCGAGCAGCGGGAGGGAGCCTGGCGTGAGGACCTGTGCTCTGCTGCGAGGGATGAGGTTGGGAGGAGACTCTAATGAGTTGGTGGCTTGTGCCGAGAGCCGTCTGGGCAAGCGAGCAGCTCTGCCTCCAGAGCCTCTCCGCTCCCCTTGGCGTGGCCTGGCCTGGCTCTCCTGCCCACACGGCTCTGTTTGTCCCGCAGGAAGATCTGCTACCAAGAGGTATCGCAGTGTTTCGGCGTGCTCTCGAGTCGTATCGAGGTGCAGGATGCCAGCGGGGGCACCACTGCTCTCAGACCCAGCGCCAGCACCCAGGTGAGGGGTAGCTGCCAGATCGTCCCCGAGCTCTGGGTAGCGTCGTTCCTCAGGCCGAACCGTGATGCGGATTTTCCTTAACGCCCTTGTCTTCCAAAGCTCTGAGTGCAGGCTCTCCCTGTGGCAGCCGGGGAGGAGATGGGGCCAGCAGCGTGCCCTGGGTGCCAGGAAGGCCAATGGGATCCTGGGGTGCATCAAGAGG